ATTCATTTATCTCTGTGCACAGATGCTAGAGCAGAAGCCTTCGCCAGAAGTCACTGGGCCGTGGCCAAGCCCAGTGGTCACCCAGTTGGAGTCAGAGGCGTCTGGTATCGGTCGTTGGATCGGTCATGTCGCAAGCTCTTTTTTTCCACAGCTCTTTTTTTCTGTTCATTAATTGCCAACATTTCATATTTTATTTCAGTATTATTTTTCTTGTCTCTCTCGCTCGTTTTCCATTTGTTTTTTAATTATTTTTGTGGCCGCTGGTGTGTGTTTTTTCCATCTTTTATTTATAATATAATATTTTGTTTGGGTTTTTCATTGGAATCAAGCGCACTTGTTGTCGCCAGCGTTGTAGTTCGGTTGTCGTCCTCGATTTTTCTGTACTTTTGTTTTTACTCCACTGAAATTCCGCATGCTCAGCTAAGCTCGGTTTCGATCGCCATAGAATAAACAGTGCAGCCTCAGCGCTTTCGTAACGATGTTTATTTTAATCAGCATTAACTTTTGACATGGCCCATAGTCTAACAACAGATAATCCCCGATCCTGATAAGGGGAATTCAGACTTTGTTTTGAGGGGAAAACACCCATGAGTAGGGAGCATGCTTAATAGCTGATCCACGATGATCCCCAGCACCTTCTAATCGCACTGTCCGACAAACATTCAATTGCGCAAAAGGCAATGCAAGCTACAAATTACAATAATTTTAGTATGCTATTTCATTTGCTTTTATACGATCGACATCCGCCTACAAATTCACCATATATTTCCACATTTTTATTGCCCATTAAATCATGTGAAGCCACGATTTTGAGAATCTGCAGTTAGCACTTAATTAACATTCGGCCCCTTTGACTCCTCCGGATTCCAATTCGGGCTTGGATGATTTATAATGTGTGAATATTGCTTTTCCCTCCAAAGTTTCGAGTTCACTTTGGGTCAATCTTTTGTTGTTTCTGCCGTCAGGTGGCCATTTGCATACGAGTGGGGCCACAGCTACGAAGCGGATGCTGAAATTGTGGGAATTGGGATAACGTTCAGCTCACAATCAGAGTCGTAAGATGGAGATAAGGTTCTCGAAAACGTTTCGAATAATAAGACAGGGATAATTTGAAAACAATCTTGCCTATTCAAAGTTGAAAAGAAAAGGACTGAAAGAGTTTTTGTTTTTAATTGTTTGAAACTATGTGAATTGCTAAACTTAAAAGGAACACAAATATTTAACATAGGTTTAATTTCAAATTAAATAGATTATACGACAAGCGTCTATAATATTATGCAATTAAAATGTCACCTACGGTTATTTAAAAAATGAAATAGAGATTAGCTTTTGGAAACTTTTTCGAGCAATCAACAAACGACTAATTGAAATACATCTATTAAATTTAAGCTATAATGTTTTGTTGCTAGCTATTGTTATAAAAAAATGGTTTTATTTTGACGAATAAAAATGTGTAAATGGAAGTAAGAATTGTTTATCGAAATTTCTAACAGTTTTAACAGCAGTTAAGGGTAAATATTGGAAACCTTATCACTTTCTAACTTAAATCTCCAGTGGCTTAAACAAATTCGTCTTAAAAACCGTATAAGAAATGCTATCATTTTTTCTGTAGCAATAATTTTCTCCTTATCTTCAGTTTCTTACCTCAACAAGTGTTTTTATCGCCCTTACAATGGGATTCCAAGAAATTATGAAATTTCTATTGCTATGACTCACTGCGAGTAACGAATGACCAAAACATATTATTCAGCATCAACCGATCTCGTTTCGCTTTGGAATTCATTTGTCAAAGTGTGGCATTGACCTATGTATCATAATCTTTCGTGGCGGAGAGAACACAGAAAATAAAATTGGCACAAAGACCGAGGTTCTGCTAACCCACAATTAGCATCTGGAACTGCGGATCGGGATCTCGCATATGTCAAGATTTTCCATAATTTCCCTTCGCTCTGCTCTGCTTTTATTCTTGACATTGGCAAGTGCAATCTGCAACTGTGTTTTGGGGTAAATGCATTTAAGATTCTTTGCACAAAAAAGTGAGTGCGAAAAAGGGAGTGGAAATCATCGCATCTGGCTGGCATCTCATCTCATCTCATCTCTTTGGCGCGATCGTTTTTTTTTCTGGTTTGTTTCAGTGTCGTGAGAACTTTTTCGCGTTTGGGCGCACAGCGTGTGAATTGAAAGCTGAGCGGGGAAAGGGCGGGGCGTTGGGTTGCGGAAACTCTCTGGGAAGCGAAAGTGTTGCAAGTGCTGGGAAAGCAAGCAAACGGCCAACAAGCAACAGGCCACAGTCACATTTGTCAGCGTTTTGCAATTGCCGTGGGTATCAATCGAACACTCCCTTCTGAAACCCTCTTAAGAAAATGAGAAAATTGTTTTACTGCGAAAAATGGGTTATATGGGCTATAAACCATTTGATTTTGGTCTAGGGATATACATTAAAAATATTTAAATTTTTAATCAAAGAATAAAAAAAACCATTCCGGTTTCAAAAATATATTTTTAAAATAAGCAACTATGCAAATGCTTTACGTTGCATTTCTTGATCTTACAATATTTCTACATTTTTTAAAAAAATGTACAAAAACTAAAAGACTTTTATAATCTATTTGATAATCTCTAACATTTGGTTTTCTGTCTTTGCAGGTGAGTTCGCTGCAGATGTCCAATCTGGGTTCTCTATATGTACATTCGTGAGTCGACAATTAAAGGTTTGTTAAGCAATTAGGCAGCTGAGCTCGTGACGAAGTTTAGCTCAAATCTATTGAATGAGTGTCCAAAAAAAAACAACATAAAAACCAAACAAACAAGAATCCCAAATGAGAATAAAATGCCAAACAATTGGAAATTCATTAAGGCCGTCGCCGTATCGTAATCAAATGCTGCATTCAACTTTAAACTGCAACGCCGGTTGAAGCCGCTCAGGCAGTGGAACGCCGACAGCGCAGTCGCAGCGTGGCACAATTGTTTTGGCCCGGCTAAAACGCGACTTTCCGTTGTCGTGGCGACGAATCGGGGGATACCAAAGTTATGCATGAGGTGTTTTATGGCAAGAACGGCTCGGAGTATTTGCACATAGAAAAATTCAAATACCAGTTCGGTTTTAATATCAAAGCAGTTTAATCTAGTCTTGTCTTAGATGTGGAAATGCAATTCTAGTTATTTTAAATAGTGATAAGTGATTTTACTTTAATAGATTTATAAAAAGATCTAAAATATAAAGGTCATTTGGGGTTCTTTAAAGTGAGCCACAAAAATCTTGAAATTTTAAAACCACTTAGAAGAGGTGTTTAACTTATTGAGATACAAAATATATTGCTGTTTTATGGGATTTATACATCAGACTTGAAATGTTACATCTACAGAGGTCTATGTAGATTTCTCACAGATGACAGATATTTTCATTTGGAAGTGGGTGATTCATTTTGTACAGTGTATATTTGTGAGTGCAACAGATACCCAGCTGGCAGCCAATTGTTGCACTCCGCGATATTGGACAAAAGGCCAACTTCCCCCTCACACTCGCCCCCACCCTCACCCCTTTTTGGCCCTTAGTTCGGTGGTGGCGACACCGACACGCATGCGCATTGCCATTGTCCCACCCTTTGACCCACCCCGCCCCCGCAAAAGCAGAGCAGAGCAAAACAGAAAGCAAAACAAAGCACAGACCAAAATACGGAGTTGGAAAAACTTAACGCCTGGTTGCCCACATCGGGTGTTCTTTGGAACCCTCGCAAACCCTCGCCATCCCTCGCAATCCCTCGATTTCTGGACTCCTCGATTTTCCGATCCAAGTGAGTGCGCTTGCGCCAACGCCGACGCAGAGTTGGAGTTAGGGTTAGGGTATGACCTGTGAACGTGCAACAATGGCACACGGGGGTTAATGGTATTTCGTACTAGTTTACTTGCTACGACGTCGGCCATTGTGCGACCACTTCATAACTGGAACATCGCAGAAACGAGCACAGTGGGCAGACGACCTGTGGATTTGCATGGCCGGCACACGCGAAATTCGATTCGATTTGTGTTCGTGATTTCACAACTCGGTGCGAATTGCCAACGACAAGGGCTCACCTTTGTACGACAAATATGAATAATGCTGATAAATCGAACGCTAACGAAGTTCGCCCTCTGATCCATAAGTATACAAAAACATCTCTCCTTTGTTTTCTCAAAAAAAAAAGTGCATCAGAGTCCAATTAAACTACAATCCTTTGGCTTATAGTTATATATGTATACATAGTTTTTTGGTCAAACATTCGGAAGTGTGCATCATCAATTAAATATTTTTTCTGCCTCAGAGAAAATAATAATTTTTTTTTTTATTTATGATACTATGATTCTAAAGAAGTGCTTATAATTGACCGTAGTTCATGGGCTAGAGTTTTTTTAAGTTTCTTAATTTAAACAGCCCAACTAAGAATTATTATTCGTGTTCAAACCAAATCGGTTGGGTGAATGTTATTTGATCAGTGTTTTTAACCTTTTTTGTAACAAAAATAAATTTCAAATTTTAAGATCTTTTACATATTTGGTTCAAGTCTGTGCTGAACACTGAAAAAAAATTATTGCAAGCCCTAGTAAACTATACATGTAACTTACACCTCATGTTGTTTAAAAAAAATTGTAGAAAACGTGTAAGTACGGGTAGATAAAAATTAGTAGAAAGAATGTAGAATGTGTGTAAAGTTATAATGTTTTGTAAATACACACCAGATGTCGCGATAGCAAAAGCGAATGTGTTATAAATAATATAAAATTAAGAAAAAAATAAATTTGCCACAGCAGATGGCGCCACTCGGCTATTGATCTAGAATGTAAAAGCTAAAAAACGCTGCCTTCTACATGTTACTTACCTTTCAAACGATGTAACATACCTCATTTTACTAGTCGTAGGGTATACAAATGTTGATTGTATTGTTAGCGTTCTGTAAATATTCGCCCAATGGATTACCCCACTAACTCGTAATATATTGTGTGGAAAGCAAAGTCCTTATGAATAGTTTACAAATATCATTTTAATATATTATCTAACTGTGCAAGTCAAGTACATTCTTTATCCAATTCATATGTGCCATCACATCAGTGAAAACGCTGGGGCTGCGGCACTCTGGGTTGCCATAGCTAACAATTCCGACCTGAATGAATACTATTCGACCGTGATACCGAATCGCATGACCCATGGGTCCTCCGGAGTCCCCACTGCACGACTCCCCGGATTCGTGAGCCACGCAGATCTGATCCATGCGACAGTCCACCAGGTACCTCTTCCGGCATTCGCTTCGATTCAGACGATTCGCTCGAATCGACTTGAGGATGTGGCTCGGAGATCCGGGAGAACTGCCGCCCCATCCGACGGCCACAAAATGTTGCAGTCCCTCAATCTGCGGCTGAAAAGCAGTGTTTGTAATCAGGCAAATTGGCTTGATGTGAACTGTGGAAAAAATGAATTATAGAAATCGTCCGTTTCTCCTTGTACCAAAATAACCTAATGGTATAAATTTTTTGAGTAGTTTTACCTTTGTACACCACCGACTTTTCCAAATGAAGCAACCCGATGTCGTTGTAGCGATCCGTTCTCGAATAGTTATCATTCCGAAAAGCCCGGACTATCTCAAACTCTTCTGAGGGAGGAATGCAAACTATACCACTGCAGTCGTGGTTGGTTGAGCTGTCGTACTCGCCCAATCGCACTTTTCTGTAAAACACTTCGGTTCAGTTAAATTATTAATTATTAATTCAATACTTAACCTACAAATTCCCTCCATCGATTATGCAATGTGCAGCAGTCAGGACAAATCCTTTGGTTATAAGAGGGTTAAGGTTAATAAGACATGACATTTGCTTGGAATATACTTACGATGGTTAATAAGCGATCCGCCACACAGAAATTTGCCAGAGTCATGCAAAAAAGCAATCCAAGGACTCTCCGATATATGAGCTTGATGGCCTTCGTTTCTGAGTGCCTCCTGTGAAATATTACCACAATCCGGCTCTAAAAATTGACCAGATGTCATCCATTCACATATAAAAAGACATCCTAACAAAAAAAACCACCTCATCTCTAATGAAAATAAGCGAGCATACTAAAAGACATTCACATGATGCTACATTGACCCTAGAAATACATTATTGTATATATATATATATATTAGCGTTCTTATCATTCCGACGAGTTTTAAAGATAGGAGATTTATAATGCAGTATAATTGAGCTTTGTTATTGTGACCTGGTATGTATATAAAAATGTGAATATTAAAATTTAATGTATGGAAAAACTCTCTGATAAAGGGAAAACCTATTTTAATTCTTTGTTTTTATAGCATGCAAAGACTTCGAGTTAAGCAACATATTTATTGTTTTTTTAAGTATATGTATGAATAGTTTAGCTATGCTCAATGTGGGTTAAAACCTTTGCTCTCTTGGCCCATAATAATCTTCTGACTTCATATTTGGAGTAGGTTACCTCACAAGAACTCGTACCAAATGCTAATCAATTAACTACAATTTTCAAGTTAGTAAAGTTCGAGTTAAGGAAGTAGATATTGGTGATTGTATATATTGAAAGTCAATTAATTTAGTGTTCTGGTGACCCACTCGATCCAAACGGCATAGGGCAGGGCATTTGTGAAGACAGTGGGTCCCAAGCAGCGTCCTGAGCCATAACTAACCACCCCGAAGAGGACGACCCTCTTGACCCGCCCAAAAAGGATCCTTGCGGTCAAAGGACCTCCAGAATCGCCGGAGCAAGTGGAACTTGTGCTGCTCGCCACGCAGATGTGGGTGTGGTCCAGATGCCTATTGAAGTATTGGGAGCAGTAGCCAAGTTGGTAGTGCGTCAAGGTTGTTTGCAGAAGGACGTGGCTATTTGTATTGAATTCGGTGCGACCCCAGCCAGTGGTGTTGAATGATGGAATACCTTGAAGTACTCTCCATGACCAATTCAAATCTCCCATGATCATGCAGATCGGCCTAATGTGCTCTGTATTGGAGTATATTATAAGTAACTACTCCTATTGGTTTTATTCGCATCAGCCTACCTCCATACTGTACAGTCTTTTCCAGCCTCATCAGAGCTATATCATTCCTGTGAAAATTGGTGAACTGTCCATGCACATACGTTCTAGTCACATTGATTTCCTTGGGTTTCGGAATGCAGCCATAATTTGTGCAATCGATTCGCTGACTCACATCATACTCCCCCAAGCGAACTGTCCTAAATCGGGAAGTTTAAAATTAAATATTTATTTATCTCCGAGAGCACTTACAATTGTCGATCATTTTTGCTTTTGCAATGAGCAGCTGTCAGTACGAATCCTTAAAAACTTCATAAGTTATTTTCTGTCAAGTTCTTGGCAAGATATTTTCATACTACATACGTGGGTTAATTAGCGATCCTCCACACTTCATCTTTCCACGTTCGATTATAATCACCATCCAGGGATTGGACAGTAAATCTGCGTGACTACCATTGATCACACGATAGTGTCCTGCATCCGATCTAGCTGATGCGCACTGGGGGTCCAGCAAATATGGTGACCCCTGCACCTGCAGGATCACGAGGATCGGTAAAAATACGAGCATTACTGCCCCTGCTCGAGCTCCCATCATATGCATCTATAATAAAGCACGAGCTGACTGGTAAATTACAATGCGTGTGCCTTTATTAATACATGTCACAGTCGAGCTTATCGCGTTGAAGAAATCGAACAAAGGTCTGGGCTTGTATATATGAATTCTGAGAATTATTAGGATGCAATTGAGTTCTACGGATCTGGTTGTAAATATGGGTTATAAACATATTCTATACTATATTCATTTTTGTATTTTGCAACAGTGATCTGAGTACAGAGTGTCTCTAAGTCGTATATTTTTGTTTAAGCTTCATTTCTTGTTTGTTATATAAAACTCTCTTTAATATTAATAGAATTGTCACTTTGAGCTTTCTTAAAGGACACGAATAAGATTACACAAATAGTATGGCGGTTCTTTGAAAGTGCTTTTGAATAGTTTCTTCTATCCAATCTGTGTAGGGTAAAACATTGGTAAAAACGGTTGGACCAAGACATCCTAGAGCCCCATAGCTGGTTAAGCCAAACAAAAAGGGACGTTTTTTGCCGGACCATGTCATCTCGGCGCTTAATGGACCGCCAGAATCTCCGATGCAAGTGGAAGATAACCTATTGTAGGCGCAGATATGTGGCCAACCAATTGTCCTCATGAAGCGTTCTGAGCAGAACTTCCGATCTAAATGATATAAGTAAGCTAATATAAGCCTTGAGCTGCTCTCCGACGATTCCGTTTTTCCCCAGCCAGTTACTTTGAACTCTTTGACATATCTCAAAGAGTGCGAATGTCTCTTAACATAGGAAGATTGCATCATACAAATTGGTCTAATATGCGCTGAAAATGAATGTTTAACAATGAAAGATCTATGTTGTTTATATCATTTAAAGCTTTACCATTGAACAGCACAGATTCGGCCATTAGAATCAGGGCGATGTCATGTTGGTGGTATTCTAAATAATGGGGATGCACAAACATATCTGCCACATCGATTTCTTTACTAATTAATTTACACTGAAGCTCTGTGCACGTATACTGAGGGTTGCCCCTGATATGTCCTCCCAACAGCACTTTTCTGAATAAGATAGATTGAGATACAATTTGGAAAATGCAATCTGCATTAGGTACTTACATGGGTAATTGGCTATTGCAATGAGCGGCTGTCAAAATAAATTCTAGAAAAAAAAATCCGATTAATCTTCGTTAATCCGTGTCAGTAAAAATACTTACGAGAGGTTATCAGCGAGCCACCACACATGTGATAGCCAGCTTGAATTATCTGCACCATCCATGGATGTCTCAAAAGATCAGCATTTTCACCGCCATATATTTGTTCACCACTAGGGCTCTCCACGCAATTCGGATCCAACAATTTTTGTGGAAATGATCCGCGAATTGCGAGCATCAGACAAGCTAGCAGTAATTTCATTTCAAACTCAATGATGGCGAGCAGGTTTTTTGCGATTTATTAATACTTGTGCATTGGTCTTATCTTCGGGTTTTTTAATACTATAAAAATATTGTTATTGACGAATTGACATTTATTAAGTAATATATGTTTCAGAGCACTTTTATTAATAATAAGTTTAATGGGTTCTAAGCACAGAATTTATATATTTAATTTATTTATAATATTTAAATTATGTTTATATATAATATTTTTAAAGTGTGAGCAATATATATACTTTAAATTGTACTGAAGCAAATTCTTGATTTTGAAATTTTTATTTGATCATTTACAGCAGGAATTTCACTTAAAACTGAGTTTTGTTAAATCTTAAAATTATCTTGAAATTATTTTATTTTAATGCAGAAAAGTACACTTCACTCATGAGTTATGGTTTAAATTCGGAATTCCAGCTTAAGACGTTATCCTTTTTAATTATGATGATTATGTATTTGTTTTTTAAATGTGACTTTTAAGTTGAACCGATTCAACTCAATGTGATAAATGCTAAATAGCACAATTCTTAGAAATTCTCTTCTCTGCGAACGATGCTTTCAATCCAGTTTAAATGGGCCATAACATTTGTAAATATACTAGCCTTTTCACAAGTTTTCTCTCCAGCGCTGACAATTCCGAACTGGAATATCGTATCCCTATGTGCATATTTTACAATAGCGGTCAAAGGACCTCCCGAATCGCCTTTGCAGGTGCCGGCGGTAGCCCTTTCAGCGCAGATGTGATTCCCATCAATCACATTAAATCGATATTGCCTGAAGCAGTTTGCTCGGGGAAGATTGTAAAGCGAAGTGGTCTGTATTACTTGACCCAATTCTCCAGATTCGGTCTGACCCCATCCGTAGGTCCTAAATTTTATGATGTGATCATCCAGATGTCTGAAAAGAGGGTCCATAAGCAAACATATCGGTCTGATTCGATCTGTGAAATGACATATTAGTATGTGTTCCAGTTTTGTAATAGCTCAGTGTGTTACTTGTAAACTGCACTCGAGTGTCCAGTTTTAACAGCGCTATATCGTGGCTCCCTCTTGAATATTCGCTATGGATATACGTTGCACCGACAGTGAACTCTTGAGCACTTCCTAAGCAATTTACACCTCTGCAATTCCATTCTAGACGATATTGGCCCAATCGAACTTTTCTACATCGTCAAGAAGTGGTAAATATTATTAAACGAATTGGAAATATGTAGCTACTCACAGTTTGGTGTCTCCCGTGCAATGCGCAGCCGTCAGTACAAAGACTGAAAATTAAAAGTGAGCCGAGTTTTTTGTTCTTTTTATATATTACTTACGATTTGTGATCAGTGAGCCTCCGCACCTATAACCGTTTTCATCTAGGATCATGGCCATCCATGGAGTGCTGTTTATTTTGGCATTACGACCCCCAATTATTCGGGGTTCTTCAATCGGAATAATGCTACATGACTTGTCTAGAAAGTTAGGAGCTTCTTGCCCCTGTACAATTACTGAACAGGCAAGTACGACTAGTATAGCGTTCTCAACAATCTTCATAACCAAGCGCTGCGGACAAACTAATGTCCGGGTCTTAAAGCTGTTGTTTCCCGCTGATTTTAAAAAAACCCGTGCGATAAGACCTCTTCTCGTTCGCACAGAAAGTTAATGTACTCTGTTGTTAAAGTGATAAGAACTGTGACAGGAAAACATATCAGTAGTATATTTAACATCGTCAAGTTATGTTCTTGATTTCATATTTAAAAAAAGAGAGGGATTTAAGTTCACCACGTCTCTAATAAACATGTCTTTACATTAAAGCTTTAATTGAAAATTTGCCAATTAAAAACAGGTGGTATATAGTAATAAAATCTTTGGGTGGAGGGGATTGTGATTGTGATTGGGCGTTGTGTGGTTGTGTGAAGCCCTTCCTGTCGTACGACATGCACGATCCAGTTCATGTGGTGCATGACATTCGTGTAGACACCCCATTGTTTACACTCAATGTCTCCATAACTGACGATCCCCAATTGAACGACACGACTTGTATTGCCAATTGGTAGTTTAGCGAAGAGTGGTCCTCCAGAGTCACCCATGCATGTGTGCGAGTTGCTGTCTCCGGCGCAAATGTGTGACGTATCCACATTGTGGCGGTATGTGGCCAAACAATACGATTGATGCACATGCGTTAAGTTGGCCATCTTTAAGACGTTGCTTGTGACTCCGTTTTCGGTTAAACCCCATCCAAGGGCCGTCAGATATCTAATGTGGGCCAATGGATTGTAGTTGGTCAGCAGACAGATTGGCTTTATGAATGCTAAAGGAAGAGCAGGCTTAGTAGTAATGAGATCCTTGCGCAACTGGCCATTCACCCACCTGTATACTGAACCGGAGTGGCCAGTCGAAACAGGGCTATGTCATTCTGGGTATGATCCACATATCTGGGGTGAGCTATTTGAGCATCGACGGGAATTCGGATTGCGTTCGGCATGCAAGCTGTTGCAGAGCAATCGGTGATGGTTGATCTGTCGAACTCACCTAGGTATACTACACTATAATAAGATGATGGCATCACAAAGGGCATTATAATATACATATATCCAACAATACTCACGTATAGCTGTAACTTGTGCAATGTGCAGCACTAAGCACAAAACCTGTCCATAGATAATTATTTATTTCTATTTTCTTTAACGTTTTTTTCCGAAATACTTACGGTTTGTGATAAGCGAACCGCCACACATATTTCCACTGCTTATCAGTGCCATCCATGGATTACCAAACATATCTGCCACACGACCCTGGATTATCCTGGCATTCTTTTGACTAGATTCGGAAATCGAAACTCCACAATCAGGGTCCAGGAATGATACTAATACTTTTCCATTTCCAAAGTTAATTGCAATAAGCAGAGTTATGACAACTGTGGCGATCTTCATGTCAAAGCTCGTACTAAAAGATTGGCAGGCTAAAGCCCGGGATTTTATTATTTTGCATGCTCCGAGATAAGCCGTGAAAGAGACATTATATTCAAATATTAACTTGACATCGCCGGGTTTTTTCAATATTTTTATAAAAAGTCTAAGAATAAGAGAATTCCATTTTTGTTTTTTTATAACTTTTTGCGGAGATCTTCAGTTCTAAGTCGGTACTAAGAGGTTGATAGGTCAGAGTCCGGTATTGTTTTATATTGCTAAATTATTTTGGTTTCTTTATTTGTATTTTGACGATAAGCCGCGACATGCAAAAAAAAAGTATTTAAAAGTTTATTTAACATTGCCGGTTTTTCCCAGATTGTTATCAAATATGCTTTACATTTTTTAATGGTTTTTGATAATTCCTTCACTTTTTTTATAGTAGATTAAATTTGTTATTGTTTTCAGTCAGAAAAAATGTTAAAAAAGCTTTTGCTTGGTATAAATATTTAGTTTTTTTGTGGCTTATAGTCGTAAAGACTTCGTACTCGCTGTAAGAATCTTTGGTTGAAGATGGGATTTTTTTTACTGGGGAGCGAGTGAGGGGAAATGGGGACCCACTATCTCCACGAATTCCCCCTATTTCTCAACCTTTGCTTGTGTGGATGCTGAGCAATCGTTTCTTCGGAAATTCATGTGCACACAAAGAGAGGTAAGATCAATTGGTGTGTGGGTTTGGACCTGGTGCTGCCCAGCATCTCACTCTCCGATCTCTCTCGATTTCGAAGCTTCGGTAACGGCCAACGGCTAAACCGGTTTAAGTTCGAATCTCTGACTGCACACACTCAGAAAAACACACAAATCAAAAGGAGGGAATACAACAACAACAACAGCAACAGCAACGGCAGAAATAATCATTTTCATTTGAAATAAGCAAATGAGCCGCAAAAAATGAATAGCATTGGAATTTGAATATTCGAATTGGAATGTTCGAACTCCGAACTTCAGCCAAAGAAATACGGTACGAAATTAATTTTCATCTAATTATGAGTGCTTTGTTTGTATTCGAAGTGTGACAAGCAGGCAAAATTCATCGATGCTTTTATAAATGAGGTTTTTATGGCTTTGTTCTAAGCCACACGATCGTTTACTCATAGCCTAAATGATGGGAAGAACCTAAATAGTCGCCTATAGGCTCTAAATGACTAGTGGAATTTCTTAGGTCACTTTGCTTATTGCTGAGTTCAAGTTATTTCAGTTTAAATTCTTAAGATACCTTAAATCTTCTGTTTCAAGATACATAAGAAGATTCATATAAAAAAGATTAAAATTCAATATTAATTAATGTGAAAACTACATAGATAATGTGCATATTGCAATCGTTTTTAAAATCACAATAAAGTCCAGATAACTATAACATAAAATTACAATATTGTTTTTATTACATTATAATTTTATTATTAAACAATTTACATCTTTTTCTTTAATATTCATAAACAACAAAAATATAACGTAACAAATCGACAATACTACCAAAGTTTGGCCTACACCATCTTTCGTATTTATGAACTTTTTCCGTATACACTTATACTTATGCTTAAATGACAGTGACTAGGTAAGGGAAATAATACCCTATCCCATCACTAATCAGGAGTGGATCTGGATTTCTGGATTTATTGACCTTGCCGGGCTGCTGGCAATGGGGCGGCCCTCGGAGCTGCAAGAATCCTTACATTTCGGAATGCGGCTGTGGTCGGCTGAGGTCCAATGTGGCTGATGTTGCTGCTGTTCTTGCTGTTGTTGCTGGTGTCAACATCAGCAACATCGAACAGCAACAGCAACAGCACGTTCGTGGTCTTGACTTTGGGGCTGCGGCTGTGACTCTGTCGCCGCACGTACAACAACCATCTTACATAGCCGCCGATTAGCCAAGGTAACAAACGAAGAACTGGCCCAGACCCGACTCAGATCCAAAATGAGCTATCTCACTGCGCAAATCTTTCACTTCTTCGTCGTCGTTGTTGTCGCTGGCTTTTAAGGGCCTTGCAGGCCTCCAAGCCTGCCATTTATCGCAAATGCATTGTGGCAGGCCTCCACTACACTCCACTTCACCTCACTTTACTCCACTCCACTCCGATCCATTCCTCCTGAGTGCTCCATCTTTCTGGCCTGACTCGGCTTTTGTTTCATGCTCCATGGCTAATGGCACGCAGGCTCCACAGGTTGCCGCTGTCGAGTGTTGTTGCAACATGCTGTTGTCGACGGGCGCCCTGCACTCCAAGGTCCAAAGGCAAACGCAAACCCAATACCCACACAGAGAGAAATAATGACCATTATTTGTCAGCAGTGAGGCGGTTTTTCCCAGCTTTTATCTGCTACAAATTTCTTATCGCAGGGAATATATTTTGTCAACATGGTAATTAAATATTTTTATTATTTATTTATAATCCAAGCTTTAAAAATTTCCCATTTAAAAAAATGCAATACATTTTTAACTTTTTAACATTTTTATTACTTAGACTTGAGAAAGCTTCAACATGATTTAGAACAATGGCAATAGCAGATAATAAGATGTGTAAAAGACAGTTTGGATATCATGCCAAGTCGTTTCTTATCAGATTTATATACTTAAATAAATTAATAATAAAATGGTGAATATGAAAGATATATGGTTGTATTTTCTCCGCGTGGAGCACACGTGTGCGTGGCTAAAACGTCCGTTTCTCGGGTTCTCTCCGCGCTTATCGCCACCAGATTCTCTCTTTCTCCGGAGGTGCCCCCGCTTATCTGACCGGAGTGGCATTCACTTCGTGCTTTATGCCCGGATTAAATTTAGCAAATCGAAGCGATGCGCTAATTGAACTTGTTGCTGTACGCTCCCAAAATGGCCGCCCAACAATGTGGCTGGCTTGCTGGCTTAAGATCTTACCATAATTTACATTTAGTGGCACAAGCCACACATTGCAAATATTATGGGCTGCGGCGCGACAGGGTCGACTAAAATATTTTTGTGGGTATTTATAAATCGGGCGGGAGATGGACGAGTACTCGGACGGACCCTTACTGATCCGCGTCTCGAGCTCCGCCAAAAGCTCCCCAGCGACTTGGACGCTCATATTTCACACTTCACGACAAAGCGATTAAAGTCGCGCAAACAATCTGTTATTGGAGTTGTTGCAATTATGTTTACAAAGACATTAAAAAGGAACGAAAAGCGAACGGCGAAATAAAAATACGAGGAACACAGTGAACACACAGCGAAACTAAGCTCAAAAAAACTCGAAATCGGTCCGAGAGACGTTGAGGCACTCTTTATTTTGTATTTCTTCTTTTTTCCTGCTTGTTTTTGTGTTTTTTTTTTTTATGAAACGTGAGTCGTGCAGCAACACAGCCCAGCATACGACGGCGACAATCAATAAAAAAAATCAGTAAAAAAAAACCAGAAAACAAAAATATTTGTATGCTAAAACGATGAGATGAAGTCAAAGTTTCTGCGTATTTGCACGCCTGCCTTTTCTGCTGGGGGTTAAAGTTAAGGCTGTGGTCGATCACCCGACCAATTAGCCGGCCTGAATAGGAGTAATAGGAACTGGAATTGGAATGGAAATAGGAATACTTAGAGAAGCTCAGAGGAGCTGGCCCTAAAGAGCCATCAAAGTCAAATGTGCCGCATCATGTTGGGGCCACGGCAATTAGCTTTAATTCTAAGCAGCTTTTCACAGCCATGTGACAAGTTGAATGCTGATGAAGCACAACCGCAGCCGGAATCTGATCGATCTATCATCTGTATCGACGGATTGCCAAGGCAAAGGGCTGTGCCAAAGGGCCGGGTAATCCAATTATGCGCCTTCAGGTGTTAGGGCTGGCACGCGCTTAAAGTTGGCCAAAATTAAGATAATAGTTAAGGCTGCAAAACGGGACAATATTATCTTTAACGTTTTGTTTGCATAACATTTTTTTTCTAACATTTTCCTAACCTTTTAGCTTATCCGGAGTTTCTTTTAAGTCACCTAATGATCATTTAATTATTGGAATTCATCATTTCGTATTCTATTAATAGTTTGGCAAAACAAAATTAGTGTCCACATTTTACATATTTTTAGATCCCAACTGTTTGCTTAAAACCTTTTAAAATTGCCTATCATTAATAACTATTATATAATAAACTAAACTATGCTCTAAACACTTTTTTTACAATAAAAACAACTTAAATTATTTATATTGTTGACCATAATATGTTTGCCCTTAGCATGAATCCATTTAATTAGGATCAGAATATAATATTTCACACATTACAGAAGTGGTAGGATCGCTAATAAGACCAACATGTCCAAATATTACAATTTAGTATTACAATCTAAGGCACCTAACATTTCCTTTTCTATTAGTTGAGTTTTAAGTGAGGTTTCATGAGTATGGAATGGATTTAGAAAGCATTTTAGGGTGTTTTTAGCCTTTATAGTCTTGGGCCTGGTTGTAGATTATGTATGTAGGCCTGTGTTTACATTGTTTTTTACTGCTGAGTACCATGTGCCAATGTGCAACACTTCATAATGCAACGAATTCGTTGCGCCCTTTGGGCTGGAGCATCCCTGAGACACTTGAGCGCCTCCTGAGCCGATCTTTTGTTACTCTTAATCTGCGTGGCACTTGAAAGTAACGCCTCGACTGCGACTCCGACTTCCAGACATCGATGGTGATGATCACGATGGTTCCAATGATTCCGACAACCTGTAGAGCGGCAGGGAATCACTTCAAGGGTCTGGTTCTCGAGGCTTTCTTTTGAAATTGGGAAAACCAGAGGAGATCATAGACAGATGGAGTGCCGAAGGATGGGGCAGGTAAATACATACTTGCACAATGTACACATGTACATAAAAAACATTTCTCTTCGCATGGCATTTTGTACGCTTCATCAAATGTTTATGAGTGTGGGTCGGGGCATATCGGCATCTTACACCTTTCGAGCGGCGTTTACCTGTGGATCGGATCGGATCGGAGTGGTGGAGTGTTGGAGTGCTGGATTGGCGGAGTGCCCTGAAGTGGTTTCGGAGTTCTGAGATCGTTCTCAACTCGATGTTCGGCTGTCAGTTGCATGCTCTTCGATTTTGACAGATGATTTTCTGTACGGGTTGGGCACTGGCCTTTGATTGAGGTCTGCCCAGACGGCTATTAATATGTTTGATTATAGCTGCAGATCGGAGAGCGGCGCTTTCCCCCTCCTCCTCCACCACGAAAACTCTTCGAAACGCTTTTCAATTTAAATGTATTTTCATGCTCTGAAACAAAGCGCCGAGCGAGACAATGCAACGCCTCTCGAGAGTCGCAGCGTGGGATTCGAGATTCGAGTTGAGTTGGTTGCGCTTTTCCGAGTGCACCTTTTGTCCCAAAGCGAAAAGGTCAAAACGGTTTTGGTTTTACCTGCCCGAAAACGGTGTCCTTTTGGCCCAATCCCGCAGAGCACATGGCGCAGCCGTGGAAACCCCGATTTCTTGTGGGTTGGGAACAGGTGAAGAGGCCTCCGAGATTTCCGAGATCTCGGATCTGCCCTAACAATGTTGACAACGCTCGAACAGAAATCTTTTTGCCAAAAAGACAATCCATGGCCCACGCAGGCTCAGCTCACAGATACAGATACAAATACAGATGCGGGCACAGATACAGATGCAAAACTGCCGAGATCTTGTGTGCTTATATGGCAGCATTGCCCACACACACACACTTATTGCCAGGTGAGAGAGAGAAAGAGAGAACGAGAGAGTTACGTTCATTTTACCTGAGCGTTTTCGAATTCGCCGCAATTTGGCTGCAACAACAATAACAAGCGACAATAAACAGCAGAACCTCCAACAACAATAGTGCCAAGAAATTGGGATATACACAAGATCTTACCTGTGAGAGCGACCTGCAATCGATGCGAATCTTAAATGCCCTGCACATCTGTCGGAGTTAAGATGCTGCTGGATTATCCCCTCTTTAGTTTTGCCTTTGCTATTGGGAATTTCGTGGGAGAGGGAAATCAGGACATTGTTTTTTAAGTGCTTTCCTTTGTAACAAACCCTTTTTCAATAGCGAAAACTGTCCTGTTTCTCTAGCGCCTTTCGAATGTGATATTTATATGCTTTATCCCTAAGATATCTAAAAACTCAGGCTTTCAGTCAGTCAAGTAAAGTATCTTAATCCTTTCCATATATTAATATTAATATTTTCTACATAATTGAAAAAAGTATTTACTTATTGAAATATAAAATAAATAAGTAAACAAAAGTAATGAAAATTTAACAAAGGTGGTGTGTTCAATACATTGCTGACTTTAAAGGAAATTTTAGAATGTACAAGAATACCCTTTTCAAGTTATTTAAGATCTTCAGAGGATTCAATACTTTTTTTATTATATAGATATAGATTATATGAACTTAGGGGTTAGGGAATCTTGTCTTCATTTGTGGAAAGGAATAATATTTGAAATAAAATTGTCTTCATTTCTGGAAAGAGATAATATTTGATATAAATATAGATATCTACATAATATTATTTGGACTTAGGGACCTTATCAGATGGCGTTATATTATCAGAATCTGGTGCATTATATTATGTGATGTGATTTGCATGTTCCCAGGTAGGTATGTAGAGCATTCGTTGGCCAGGGGAGATTGCCCAAAATATCTTGCCGTATCGTTTCGTATTACGCTGACTTTTTAAAACGCTGCTACGTTTACGATTACCTGTAGATGCCCCGCTGCCAGTGCGAGTGGGAGGGGTGTATATGGGTACGGTGAGCGAGTGAGAGGGGGCGAGAGCGGTCTGCAGCTGTGCCATACCGTATTGCCTATTGTGAGAGCCAGAGTTTCTGCCTTTGCTTTTATTTTGACCTGATCTGCGCTTGAGATTTCGCCCGCCAGCCGCTCACCTTTCGTATTTTTACCTGTGCGTTCTCTCTTCGCCATGAAAGAGAGCGAGAGCAGAGCGGATTAACAGTGGGAGATATAGGGAGAGAGAGAGTGTCTGTGTTTTGGGCTTCGCTTTTGGTTTCAGTCTCGAATACAACTTGTTGCTGCGCAGACGCGAATCGCTCATCCGCACGGAGTGCCCGAGTTCGAGTCCTCTACCAACATATCTTTGCTCTCGATCGCGGCGATTGCTAATTCGGCCGTTGTGCTAATCGAAATACCAAGAAATCGCAATCCGCAAAAATTCCCAATCTGGGGTGTAAAACAAGTGCTTTCGGATATACTATACGTATTTTTTTGTGATTTCCATGCTAATTGGCAGTCGGTGTTGCCATTGGCTAAGATCGTAAGATGGCCAAGTGTGTTTGTGCCAGTTATTCGGCTGCGGGGGCTACAACAATTGTTTAGTGCAATTAAAGCTGCGCCTGCGCGACCCTTTCTAACCTCAAAAAATAAGTCAGCGGACTGAAAGAAGCTGAAAAATACATCTGAAAAATAACAAAAAATATATACGAGTATATAAAAGCCTTCGGACGAGACTCTTGTGGCTCGTAATGTGAAACTGGTTCCTACACACAAACACACATACACTTACGCGTTGGCAGACCCACTCGAAAACACACACACAGTGAAATGTAAACACCAATACAGTGGCAAATTGCAACGACAACAGCTTAAATACAAAATAAACAACAACAACAACAATAATACGAGAAACGCAGTGAAAGAGTCGAAATAAAATTTATGAAAAAGTTGTTTCTTTGGCACGCAAAGCTGAGTGAGCAAAAGAGCCGAAAGTAAACCGCAAGTTCACGAAAAAAATATAGACGAAAATAACCCCTATGACGTCAGGGGTTATTGCTTGGAAGAGGTCTTGATTGATCCCACTGTACCGCCCACCACCCACCGCTCAAAAATGCTACTGCGACGGCGCAGCAGCCTTTGCCACCCCCTTCTGCTGCTGCTATTGGCCCACTGCATTTGCATTTGGCCCGCTTCGGCGGCCCGAGATCGCTACGCCCGCCAAAATAATCGCCAGCGTAATCATGATTTGGATCGTGATCGGGACCGATACGCCTATCGCAGCAGTTCGGCGCGGGATCGGCAGAGGAGCGGGGTCAATTATGCCCTCGGATTGGGACCCGGCGGCGTTACCATTCCCACCAGTCTGGAGGATCAGAGGCCCAACGAGTTCGTCAAGGGGAAAAGTAAGTCCATGGCCAGGATCTAGCCATCCGTCTTCGTCACTGTGCCCATCTATCACAATGTGTTTATGTAGATCATCTGCCCGCCCTGCCCGTCCATATATCAAAAAAGCCAAGTCGGCCCAAATATGGCCACCGTTTCATTATCAGTTGGGCTCTTGAGTTTCCAGTCTTTTTGGGTTTTTAGTTTCGTTTCAGCGATATGCTGTTGGTTATCTTATCGCCGGTGGGCTCTTGTTTTTTTTTTGTTTGCCCCTTATGCTGCACTTTATATATATGTAACTTCGTTTTCGGCTGCATTTCGAATTATTAGGTCTTATCGTTACACTGGGAAATTCTGGTATCTAGGGCTATGCGCAAATTGTGCAATATTGTAAATACTTTAAGCGGGTTATGCGAGGAGAAAAGAGAAAGGGTTCCCTTTAAATGTGATGTTATAAACAATTGGGTTTTAAACTTGGTAAATCGTATTAGTCTGCAAAATGTCTATAGGGTAAGATAAGTAAATACTCATTAGAAATCTAAAAGCTTTTTATTATAATTAAATATTTGTATAATATTTTTATTCTTCTTTGTTAACTGTCGCTCCAAAATATCAAGTATACGCCAGGGTATCCTCCATTTCACACCCTTTGCGCCTACTTTATACCTGCCCTTTGCTGCTGGTCTCACCTGCCCTGTGTGTCACCTCTTGACTTGGCGCTGGCTTAGTCAAAGAGTCTTGTGTGCACTATCGCCCTCTGTTTCGGGTTCCCCCACCGCCCTCCATCAGATATCACGGCAAACAACAAATACCAGAACACACTGATTAGCCAACGAGAGCATTTCGTTCTGCATTTCGTAATGTCAAATGTACAAGGTAAAGCGTAGTTAGTTAGTGTTAAAATCGCTCGACTTTTCCCGCCGCCTGCGTGCACTTTTCTCTGCATCAGCAGTAATTGCAGCAACAGCAAACGCAATAAGCGACACAATTTCCAGCTAAAATGGCGACTCAATTTGTTGACTCTGCAATTCTCGAGGTTTTCTTAGTGGGGTTCGGCGGTTGGCCGTTGGAAAATGAATACAAAATTGTATTCGCTTACTGGAACTTTCGGCTGGCTGACTGTTTGAACAACCATTTGGCCACAATTTAATGAACAGCATTGCGTATCTGGCCGTGTCTGTTTGCACAATACTTTGAGGCAAATGTTTGCATTTGGCGGGCAAACAAAAAAATAAAAATTAAAAAAGGGAGGGGAATAAAGGCGGCCCATCGATATCCAGTATTCAGTGATCTTGTAGCTGCAAATTAATGTGCGTTTTGTCCGCCAGCAACTGTGCAAATATTGATAGGAAAACTTTGGTCGGGGTCTATGCTAATGGAGGGTTACTACCACAAAGCCGGATATATGGATATTTGGCTAGATAAGCGAGTTATGAAACCGATAAAGACTCCTGTCTCTGTTCCACTAATCGTCTCCGATATTACCCTTTTTTCGCAATAACGATCGCTCAACACAAAGCCCTTTTCCAATGAATTTGTTTGAGCTGTTTGCTCTCGGTTACTGTATTGTTTTTTTTCTTTATGACCATAAGTAAGCACAGCTGCGGCAAATATGCAAATAAATGCTGGAGAAAAGCCTGCCGCAAGCTGCACGTGCAGGCGAATTGAAACCGTTAAACAAAATCATATAGGGGGTTGGGAAACTTGAACAACTGGCAATTGTTGTTAACGCCTTTATAGCTCAAAACCTGCATTTATTTGCAACGAGCCAGTTGAGTGAAATGACCTGGGCTGCAAAGCAAACCATCTTTTATTTCTGACATGAGAATTTATAGTAGAAGTTTAGATTCATTCGATAACATTTTTCGTAGAATTTTACTGAGTAGTTGGATTTTATTTGTATTGGTTGGATTGATTTATTGGAATTGTAACACTGATACACACATTTCTATAGAGGAAAAATTTAAAATAGTGAACAATTTCTTTATATAGAAAAACATGTTATTTTTTCTTGTGGTAATATTTATAAAAGGCTCTATTTGAATTGTTTTTTATACCCTTGCAGAGGGTATTATAATTTTGGTCAAAAGTGTGCAACGCAGTGAAGGAGGCATCTCCGACCCTATAAAGTATATATATTCTTGATCAGGATCACCTCCTGAGTTGATATAGCCATGTCCGTCTGTCCGTCTGTCCGTCTGTCCGTCTGTCTGTTTCTACGCAAACTAGTCTCTCAGTTTTAAAGCTATCGAGTTGAAACTTTGCACACACCCTTCTTTCCTTTGCACGCAGTATATAAGTCGGAACGGCCGGGATCGGCCGACTATATCCTATAGCTGCCATATAACTGATTGATCGGAAATGCCATAACTCTGGTGTTTGTTAAGTTAGGAAGTTGGGACTTTCTGTGGGTTCTATATTTGGCCACTCAATCCGACGTACCAAATTTCATAAGGATCGGCCGACTATATCCTATAGCTGCTATATAACTGATTGATCGGAAATGCCATAACTTTGGTGTTTGTAAAGTTAGGAAGTTGAGATTTTCTATGGGTTTTATATTTGGCCAATCAATCCGACCTACCAAATTTCATAAGGATCGGCCGACTATATCCTATAGCTGCCATATAACTGATTGATCGGAAATGAAATAACTTTGGTGTTTTTAAAGTTAGGAAGGTGGGATTTTTTATGAGTATTAAAAATGCATCATATGAATAATTTTGGAGAATATAATTTGCAGAATATTCTGCAAGGGTATTTCAACTTCGGCTCCGCCCGAAGTTAGCTTTCCTTTCTTGTTTAAATATGCATTTCATTATAATTTTATGCAATTTAAACTTTTTGTTTGGCAGAAGGTTTTTTGTTTTCAAAACTTGTTTGTAGGTAAACAAATCCAGATTTATTGTCTTCTCGATTCCTTTCTTTATAATATTTATAAGTAATAGACATTTTTTGAATAAATGCATATTTCTTGAGATTTATTGTTTACCAATCCGCCCAGATTTTGGAGTTTAAAACTGTGGCTGGCTTACCACCACAACCACCCACCTATCCCCCTCTCCCACATAGACAAACACACACACACACACATAGGCCATCTCAGGGCGGCTTGAGTGTGCGTGCTAACGCTGGAAAAACCGCATTCCATAGTGCGCTTTGCTGCGACGGCTTCGTGGGTCCAAGTCCAACCATGAGCCCAACCAGCATCCCAGCTTCCCCTTTCCAGCATCCCAGCCCCCTGAGGCCCCCATTTCCTAGCTAATTACGGCGACAGGCACGCGCTATTTTCGCCTGTGTGTATCCTTGTGCGCTTTGCATTTTTCCATAACATTTCTGATTAAGCCATCATATCAAAGAAATAATGGCCAAATGGAAGTTCGAAATGGTCAGAGCTTGGCTTTTAGCCATCAGCCAGTGCTGAACTTTAAGGCCTGGTCTGCTGCAGTCGTTGATGCATTAGCGTTGCATTTACTTTTGGCCGTTCAACTACTTCCAGCAATTTTGAGACCGAGTCGAAATACTGGTTTTCTAAAACCCACACGGATACACACTCACACGAACACCAGCGAGAGCAGAGAGCGATGGGAATGAAAAGAGAGAGCATCTCGGGCTGCTGCGATTGCGCAGTCTCGGTCTCTGCGCATATTTGTTTTATTTCCCTGGACCCAAAGTCACTTTTCCTAGGATACACAGAAAATAGAATAGATTATCTTCTTGTAAACAAATAATTGAGCAACAAGTTTTGGTGTTTTACAAATTTAAGACTATTTTAATATTTCATATTCACTTAGTTTACAAATTGATCTTAAAGTCTTACAAAATGTATAGAGTTTAAATATGTTTATATTAAAGCAATAGTAAGCAGTCAATAATCTAAAGCATTTAAAAAATTTTTAGTATATAAATTCCTCACTAACCAAATTTGTTTAGACTATATTCTGTGTTGGAGCTTTTTGATATTGGTATTTCGTATACGTATTTCATATTTATTTTGTAATATAGAAAATAGTATTCTTTTTCTTGCTGTGCTGACTTTTGTGAACTTTTGACTGCAGTTCGCTTGACTCTCTGCCTCCGCCTTTTTTCTTTGCCTCTTTTTTTCTGCGTGTGGGCGTTCGATTTCAAAAACCAGAGCCAAGACCGAGTTTGTCGGTCCTCTGCCCACGAATTGCTGCCCGTTGGTGCTGAGATCGCTTCTGAGACCTCTCCCCGATTTTCTTTTCCGTCTCGCTCTTGAGCCGTTCTATGCCTAAAAATAGTTGCGAATGCGAAAATTCAAAGCCAGGCAGCAGACCAAAAATGGCGCCAGGGCGTGCTCATTAAGCCAGAGTCTGAGCCACAGCCAAAGCCCAAAGCTGCAGCTCAGCCCAGTTGGGGGTTTTCCAATGATTAGGGGGGTTGGGGGGCATCAGAACAAAGAGTGCTGGCGAACAGCGAAAACAATAAGCTTATCTAATCCAGGCATTGCTGTTGTTGCTGTTGTTGCTGTCGTGCCTCACGACCTGCGCCCAATTGTTGTTCGAAACAAAATGAACGCGCTTCGAACACGAAAACCCGAAAGCAGAAGATGCTGATCATGGTGACGAGGATCAGGGAAGGGGGGCGCCGCGAAGGAAAACCAGCCAGATGAGCCGCCACAAGGCATCACCATCATCATCTCCAGCCAAGAGGCTGCCTTTCTGTGCCTGTTGTTGCTGCATCTTCGTTTCGTGGCCGTTGCCTGATTTGCCTTTGTTCAGGCACTCAGAGAAATAAAAGTTGACGAGCCGAAAACATAATACGTTTATCCAGTTTTTGCTTACAGCTTAATATATTTAAAAACTTGTGGCTTTACAAACTATTGAAATTGTTTTCTACACTAAAGTTTTGGTTCATTTATAAAGCTCTAATAATTCTTTAAACAATTCTACTTATTAGTTTTAAAAATGTTAAGCTGATTACATATTAATTTTCTAAAACATCTGATGATTTGTTATTATTATATTTTATTATTCATGCTCAGGATATATAAAGTCCAACAAACAAAAGGTCGATAAATTTTAAAAATATCTTTGAATTAAATGAGATACTTGATTTTGGGATGGTAATTTTTGACAGTGCCTTTTTTGCCGAGGACAGTCGATTGGCGGTGCTTTGTTGTTGCTGCTGCTGCTGCCACGACGACTGTTGCCTGCAAATTTGTTATGGCAAGCTGAAGATGCGCCTGCGCTTGCAGCGTTTTCTGGGGAAGATCTCCACCCTGACCCCCTCCCATTACCATCCCACCACCCGCTGCAGTTGCGCTTATTTGCCTTCGCCTTCGTGACGCCACGACGCGAGCATAGAACACAGCGGAAAAAGCTGGCAACACGAAAGAAGAAAGTTGCCGCAACAGCATTCTGCAAAGCGAAATAAAGTATCAGAAAAAAAAAACCTCAGAGAGAGGAAAATTGCAAAATCCGCGCACGTAAGCGTCGAACTGGAGACTATGGCTCCAATCCAGTGTTAAGCTCCATTCCCCCCTCCCCACCCATCCCCTTCCCTAATGAGCTGCGTGTTTTTAATGGCCGCACAAATGAATTTATTAAGCACTTTTACACAATTTCATTGTAAAATAGGCGCGTGCCGAGCCGCATTGGACTGAAATTGTCGCAAAACAGTTATGAATTATTTATGAAGAGCTGGCTAGATGGGGGAAAAGTGGTAGGGGGGTGGGGGGTACGTACCGATCGCATTGCAATTGCCGTCGGACGTTAATCTATGACACCTTGCGATCCGGGCAGCTGCATCTGCATATGGCGCCGGATCGAAACTTTCACCAACGACGCCGCGGATCAGATCAATGTACTTGTTCATCAAATATCTCCAAAACTCACATACATACATTGCCAGCGGCGATATTAACGGGCGAGCAGTGCCCGATAATTTGATCGAATGGGTTAACCATTCGATCCCCAAGTTCTAAACTCTAAAACTCTGAGAAAACAAAGCCTGTCTAATGCCCTTTTAAATCTTTTGTTATAATACAACAAAAATCTAGACAATTCTTGTTCTTCGTGTTGCCGCGGGCGAGGAGGGTACACAAAATTGTTGCCAGCCATCTGGGGTCTGAGTTTTTGTTTTTGGTTTTCGGTTTCGGGCCATGAGTTAAAAATCTTTTCCACGAAATGAAAATACAGATACAGCGAAGGCATGGGAAGGGAGGGGAAGGGAATGAGCGCCGAGAGCGGTACGAACGTGAGCAACAACAACTGTTAAGTGCGCAGAACCGGCTGAGCGAGTCGGGTCTGAGTTCTGTTGCAGCGATGAGCGGGGCAGATAGAGGACGGGATCGAGGCGGGACGGGGCGGGGCGGGTCGGTGGAAAACGTCAAGAACGCTTTGCGTCTAGGCCAGAATCGGAGGAAAACTTGGGGTCCAAAAGTCAAATTGCCGATGGAAAACCGAAAGAATCGATTATGCAGTCTCTTGGCTTTCTTCTACCATTTTCATCTCGGTGAAAAGGCAAACAGCAGCAGCAGCGGCAGCGGCAGCTGGAAACAAAAACAATATTTAGAAAGTCAGCAAAGTAAGGTTTGGAATGCGGTTGCCTATTAATCAGTACGTCAGATGATGACCGGAGGGGCGGCGAAGGGCAGCCACGGCGATGGAGTCGTGTGTGTTGATGGCTTGGCATACAAATCGATAAACAAATACAGCAAATACAGCGATTTTCCAGAGTCTGTGTCTGCTGCTACGACTGTGTTGGTTGATTAATCTCAGCGCTGAGGTTCGTTGCCTAAGTCTTTTGTTTTAATGAGCACATCATGAATTATGACTTTGATTTGTGCTGCGAGACTGAGACTTGAGACAAAGTCCCCGGCCACTCATTAATGTTGCCACACTTAGCCTTAGCCTAAGGATTACAAATTAGCCTTTTTGTGAGCCCTCGACTGTGTTCGGCTGCTGCGGCGGGCGTGTCGCGCTGCGAAGAAAAATCGCAAATGCCCCGCCACGCTCGATTCTCAAGAAACGAACTCGAGTTGAAGCGTTTGCCTGGCAGGGAATCCACCGCCGTCGTGGCTTAAGTTTCAGGCCTCGAACATGAAAAACCTGGCTGAAAAATTGTCCGCGATAAAGCCCAGTCGAGAGGAGTCGAGTCGAGTTGAGTTGAGTCTTGAAAAGGGTTTCGTGATGTCGGCTTCGCTCGGCATGAGAAATGAAGGCGGCCGCTGATGCTGCTGCTGATGCTGATGCTGCTGCCCAGCGGCAACCTCGACCACAACAACAACAAAAAAGAGAGATAAAATAAAATAAAACAAACAAAAAATAAAAAAACTGGTAGAAACAAAGCTTAAGAATTTGTACGAAAATTTTTGCGCTTCGATTGCTGCAGCAGCCGCTTTTGATCAGTGTCCAGCGACAAAGTCGAGGTCCCAGTCGTGGCCTCACCTTCGCATCCACATCTCCCCCTACCCCCTACCCCCTACCCCCTCCCCCTCCCCCTCCCCCTCCACCTACCCACTCCCCTTTCCTTTTGGCGGAATGCATGGGACGCATATCTGGGGGCATTTAACTTTTTCTTCCCATCGCCAATGGAATTTCTCCGTTTCTGGCGACAGAAATATTTCTGTCTTTGGTTTCGTACCTCCTCATAATTATGGGATATTTGTTCGAAGGGAATCGATAAAGTTGGGATTGGGTGGAACGGCCATTTTGTGGGTAATTAGTTGGGTGCTCTCTGATGCCCGTGGGTTGGGCCATCTCACAAAGAAGAGGTGGGTGTCTAACTCCAACTCACCGCTGACACATGGCACACTTTCGCGGCCCACACATTTGGCAGGGCCCAGTGGCCCACGTAGCCCTTTTCAGAAGAATCTCCGCATATGAAATTGTATCTATCGGATGCAAATCAATGAAGTTGTCGCCGAAGATGCTCGACAACGCGAGAGCGACTAAAACAGGTCGCTGACTAATGATAAGAGGCCGTCTGGGCTGAGATGCGAGACTGCGTGGGCTGCTAATTATTAAAAACGCCAACTGGCACTGGCACTGAGAGTCTCGCGCCCACTGGTTTTGTTTCGGTATCTACCTCATTTTATTGCTTCCGAGCAAACAAACAACAGGGCAAAGCTATTTCCGTTTACGATCCGAAGTTCGAAACCCAAAATTTATTTCTCAAACTGCCCGAGCATAAGTCAACACCTACCCACCGATCTGGTGGGCTGTGGATAATTGGACAGTTTAGGGTCAGTCGAAACTAGGAAAACCATTAGCCCGCATAAACACCCACAGTATTACAACGATTTCCCTTTTCTTTTCAACTCTCTTTGCAGTCTGCATTGGCACCAAATCCCGGCTGTCAGTGCCCTCGAATAAGGAACACCATTACCGGAATCTCAAGGATCGGTACACGAACTGCACGTATGTGGATGGCAACCTGGAGCTGACTTGGCTGCCCAATGAGAATCTGGACCTGTCCTTCCTGGAAAACATTCGGGAGGTCACCGGCTATATACTGATCAGTCATGTGGACGTCAAGAAAGTCGTGTTTCCAAAGTAAGTTTGCACTTTTAAATTACTTTTAAAATGTGGTAGCGTTTTATAGATTATACTTTATTAAAAGACATTTTGGAAGCACAGAAAAATAGGAGTCACTGCAATCAAACAAAGTTTACCGCTTTTTATAACTTCTTAATCCAAAAAGTACATTTTTTAAAACTGACATAAGTTAATACTAATTTTATGGTAGGAATTGTAAACTTTAATTGTAATTTCAGAAAATACAATATTTATGGAACATAGATTAATTTTGTAACTCTCGAATTTCAGACTGCAAATTATTCGCGGACGCACGCTGTTCAGTTTGTTGGTGGGTGAGGATAAGTACGCCATGTTCGTCACCTATTCCAAAATGTACACGCTGGAGATGCCCAACTTGCGCGACGTCCTGAATGGCCATGTGGGCTTTTACAACAACTACAACCTCTGCCACATGCGGACGATCGATTGGCAGGAGATCGTGTCCAACGGTGCGGATGTGTTCTACAAATACAACTTCACGGCGCCGGAACGGGAATGCCCCAAGTGCCACAAGAGCTGCTTGAAGGGCTGTTGGGGCGAGGGTCCGAACAATTGCCAGCAATTCAGCAAGGTGACCTGTTCACCCCAGTGTGCCGGCGGTCGCTGCCACGGACCCCAGCCGAGGCAATGCTGCCACTTGTTCTGCGCCGGCGGATGCACTGGACCCACTCAGAAGGATTGCATCGCCTGCAAGAACTTCTTCGACGAGGGCGTCTGCAAGGAGGAGTGCCCGCCGATGCGCAAATACAATCCCACCTCCTATGAGCTGGAACCGAATCCGGAGGGCAAGTACGCCTACGGAGCGACCTGTGTCACGGAGTGTCCCGGCCATCTGTTGCGCGACAATGGCGCCTGTGTGCGCAGCTGTCCCCAGGACAAGACGGCCAAGGCCGGCGAGTGTGTGCCCTGCAACGGACCCTGCCCCAAGACATGCACCGGCGTTCCAGTCCTGCATTCCGGCAACATCGACTCGTTCCGCAATTGTACGGTGATCGATGGCAACATTCGCATCCTCGATCAGACCTTCTCGGGCTTCCAGGATGTCTATGCCAACTACACGATGGGGGAACGCTATATACCACTCGATCCCGAGCAACTGGAGGTCTTCTCCACGGTGAAGGAGATCACCGGCTATCTGAACATCGAGGGAATCCATCCGCGTTTCCGTAATCTCTCATACTTCCGCAACCTGGAGACGATCCACGGCCGTCAGCTGATGGAGAGCATGTTTGGCGCCTTGGCGATCGTCAAGTCATCGCTGTACAGTCTGGAGATGCGCAGTCTCAAGCAGATCAGCGCCGGCAGTGTGGTCATCCAGCACAACCGGGATCTCTGCTACGTGGGCAACATTCGGTGGGCGGCCATCCAGGTGGACCCGGAGCAGAAGGTGTGGGTCAACGAGAATCTCAGAGCGGACCTGTGCGGTAAGTACACATTGTAGCTTGCAATTTCAGACTGCACTAAATGGATAGCTTTCAGAGTGTGTCCTTTAGACACATAGTTTACCCCTTAACTAATTTATTCTATTTAATATACAGAGAGAAATGGAACCATTTGTTCGGATGAGTGCAGCGAGGATGGATGTTGGGGAGCTGGCGCAGATCAGTGTCTCACTTGCACGAACTTTTACTATAATGGCACCTGCATAGCCGACTGTCGTAATATCTCCAAGTAAGTAACAAACATACCTTAAAACAATATGTAGTCCAGTAGCTAATTCATTGTGTTTTCCCGATCAGTGCCTACCAGTTCGACAACAGTACGTGCATGGTGTGCCATCCAGAGTGCCGATCCTGCACAGGACCCGGAGCGGATCATTGCGAGGAGTGTGTCCATGTGAGGGACGAGCAGCACTGCGTGTCCGAGTGTCCGGAGAACAAGTACGAGGAAGGGGGAGTGTGCTGGAAGTGCCATCCGCATTGCGAAGGATGCACGGGACCCAAGGACACCATCGGTCAGGGAGCCTGCAAGACCTGCAACCTGGCCATCATCAACACGGACGCCACGGTGGAGCGATGCCTGCTGAAGGACGACAAGTGCCCGGATGGCTACTACTGGGAGTATGTGCATCCGCTGGAGCAGGGCTCCCTGAAGCCGCTGGCTGGGAAGGCGGTCTGCCGCAAGTGCCATCCGCTCTGCGAACTCTGCACCAACTACGGATTCCACGAGCAGGTCTGCGTCAAGTGCAAGGGCTTCAAGCGCAAGGAGCAGTGTGAGAACGAGTGTCCTGCCAATCACTACACGGATCTGGAGCGGCGGGAGTGTTTTGAGTGTGATCCGGAATGCAAGGGCTGCACGGGACCGGGTGCCGATGATTGCCTGGCCTGCAACAACTTCAAGCTGTTCGATGCGAACGAAACTAGCCCCAGTGCGAACTCAACGATGTTCAATTGCACCTCCAAGTGTCCCTTGGAGTTCCGGCATGTCAACTACCAGTTCCAGAACATTGGACCCTACTGCGCATCTAGCCCACCGCGCAGCAGCAAGATGACGGCCAATCTGGACGTCAACATGATCCTAATCATCACGTTAACTGTTCTGGTGCCCACCATCTGCATCCTGTGCGTGGTCACCTACATTTGCCAGCAGAAGCAGAAGGCCAAGAACGAAACAAGAAACATGGTCAAGATGACCATGGCTCTGACGGGCTGCGAGGATTCCGAGCCACTGCGTCCCTCGAACATTGGCGCCAATCTGGCCAAGCTGCGCATTGTCAAGGACGCCGAGTTGCGCAAGGGCGGAGTCCTTGGAATGGGAGCCTTCGGCCGTGTGTACAAGGGCGTTTGGGTGCCCGAAAATGAGAATGTCAAGATCCCAGTGGCCATCAAGGAGCTGCTGAAGTCAACGGGCGCCGAGTCCAGCGAAGAGTTCCTGCGCGAGGCCTACATCATGGCCTCCGTGGAGCATGTCAATCTGCTGAAGCTCCTGGCCGTTTGCATGTCCTCGCAAATGATGCTGATCACGCAACTAATGCCGCTGGGCTGCCTGCTGGATTATGTGCGAACGAACCGGGACAAGATCGGCACCAAGGCGTTCCTCAACTGGAGCACGCAGATCGCCAAGGGGATGTCGTATCTGGAGGAGAAGCGATTGGTCCACAGGGACCTGGCCGCCCGCAATGTCCTGGTGCAGACGCCCTCGGTGGTGAAGATCACGGACTTCGGACTGGCCAAGTTGCTGAGCACCGACTCCGATGAGTACAAGGCGGATGGTGGTAAGATGCCCATCAAGTGGCTGGCACTGGAGTGCATTCGCAACCGCATCTTCACCAGCAAGTCGGATGTGTGGGCCTTTGGAGTGACCATTTGGGAACTGCTGACTTTTGGCCAGCGGCCGCATGAGAACATACCCGCCAAGGATATACCCGATCTCATCGAAGTCGGCCTGAAACTGGAGCAGCCGGCCATTTGCTCGCTGGACATCTACTGCACCCTGCTCTCCTGCTGGCACTTGGATGCTGCCATGCGACCGACCTTCAAGCATCTGACCACGGTCTTTGCCGAGTTCGCCCAAGATCCGGGTCGTTATCTGGCCATTCCTGGGGACAAGTTCACCCGCCTGCCGGCCTACACGAATCAGGATGAGAAGGATCTCATCCGGAAGCTGGCGCCCACCACCGATGGCTCCGAAGCGATTGCGCAGCCCGATAACTACCTGCAACCCAAGACGGGGCCGGGTCCCAGCCACAGGACCGATGGCACCGATGAGGTGCCCAAGCTGAATCGCTATTGCAAGGATCCCAGCAACAAGAATTCCAGTGGCGGCGACGATGAGACCGATTCGAGTGCCCGCGAAGTGGGTGTGGGCAATCTGCGTTTGGATCTGCCCGTCGATGAGGATGATTACCTGATGCCCACTTGCCAGCCGGGACCCAACAACAACAACAACACGAACAATCCCAACCATAACAACATGGCAGCGGTGGGCTTGACCGCTGGCTACATGGATCTCATCGGTGTGCCCGTGAGTGTGGACAATCCGGAGTATCTGCTAAATGCACAGACTCTGGGCGTGGGAGAGGCCCCGATACCCACGCAGACCATCGGGATTCCGGTGATGGAGATTCCGGGCACCATGGACGTGAAGATCCCAATGACTGGAAGTGAGCCCACCAGCTCCGATCACGAGTATTACAACGATACTCAGCGGGAGCTGCAGCCACTGCATCAGAATCGCAACAATGAGACGAGGGTGTAGACTCCATGGAAAGAGGAGTAATTGCCAACGGAGAATCTTGCCAAGTGCCTTTGGAAGCCATGCGGACATGCCGTCGCCGGCTGTTATCTTAGATAGGAGACCGTGCGCCTGTACAAAGCCTAGACCGACCCATAGATTTGTATATTACTACCGATATTACTCTCTAGTGTACTTAGCCAGTCCCCCCTCCCCCCGTATCTTTGTGTATACTTCTCTATCCTAGCCTCTAAATGAGTGTAGTCAGCAGGATTCCGATCCTGCGCTTGTAGATTCCATGTAATTACGAGAACAAAACACCGATAGTGCATTTCTTAGACGCGTCCAAGAGATCCTCCCATCGGGATAGGCTCCTCCGGAGCGCGCACACTAAGCTAAACCGATGTCCAGTTCACTCGGGCATCAATTAATTCATGTACTTGTAGTAGTAGTAGTTGTAGTCTCTTTTAGCGCCTAGTTTCCAACTGTGATATAGTTTGTAGGACTCGACTTAAGGACTTTTAACACAATGAACAAATCGAACGACTCGACACAATTAAGCAAATGAAAATAGTAGAAAAACTAATCAATGAGTAGCCACATACCGATCTTAATTTCAATTTTAGGCCTAGTTTCAAATCCCATTCGATATAACAAGTTTGACTATCAAATCCCGAGCGTGCCATGCATCAATCGATGCAAATCTCCTAAAGATTTCGAATATTTTGTTGGCACACTAGAGTGTAAGCGAATGCCTGGCCGTTACTGTTACTGATCAAAGATATATAAGTAATCCACACAAACATATACTTATAATATACAATATATGTACCATTTATACACGTGTAGATTTGCCAAGTGCAGTTATGCATACCGAATAAGTTAATTTTATTTAAACTAGCCTATTTACATATATGTGAATATATATACACAAATAAAACTACTTTCAATAAATTAAAAACAGCGTTTTTTACTGCAAATGTCAGGCTATTTCAGATGACAAGTAAGTATAGTTCCATCATCCAAAACACATTCCGCAGCACAGAGCTATGAATCATATATGCCATCCCCATTATAATCTTAGTTTTTTGATAAATTGTCAAATATTGCAATTTTTTCCGATCGTGTAAAGTTATAGGATATATTTGGAAAAAATATTTTTAAACACGATCATATAAAACAACATCGTTGAATTCGATTTAAACGTTCCAATCAATTGGCATTTACAGCAGAAAAATTTCAATTTTAGCAAAAAGTTATGATTAAACCCTTATAATAACATTTCTTCAAGACATCCGATTTCACAGCGGCTTACTTCTAAATCGTGTTTTAATTCTCTAAAAATCTGTGTACTTAACTTGGTTTGTATTTTGGGGTCGATTTTTCGTCATTTTAACGATGTTACCCCTTTCCAAATTTTCGAAAATTGGCTTTGCAGAAAAGTCACCTAAAACCTGCGCTCTAAGCCCATAACTTTTCTTACAGACATCCGATTTCAAAATGGATTACTTCTAAATGATCGTGTTTTAATTCTCTAAAAATCTGTGTACTTAACTTGGTTTGTATTCTGGGGTCGATTTTTTGTCATTTTAACGATGTTACCCCTTTCCAAATTTTCGAAAATTGGCTTTGCTGAAAAGTCACCTAAAACCTGCGCTCTAAGCCCATAACTTTTCTTACAGACATCCGATTTCAAAATGGATTACTTCTACTGTTACTGTTTTAATTCGATTTTTCGTCATTTTAACGATGTTACCCCTTTCCAAATTTTAGAAAATTGGCTTTGCAGAAAAGTCACCTAAAACCTGCGCTCTAAGCCCATAACTTTTCTTACATACATCCGATTTCAAAATGGATTACTTCTAAATGATCGTGTTTTAATTCTCTAAAAATCTGTGTACTTAACTTGGTTTGTATTCTGGGGTCGATTTTTTGTCATTTTAACGATGTTACCCCTTTCCAAATTTTCGAAAATTGGCTTTGCAGAAAAGACATCTAGGACCTCCACTTCTAAGCCCATAAATTTTCTTACACACCTCCGATTTCAAAATGGATTACTTCTAAATGATCGTGTTTTAATTCTCTAAAAATCTGTGTCCTTAACTTGGTTTGTATTTTGGGGTCGATTTTTCGTCATTTTAACGATGTTACCCCTTTCCAAATTTTCGAAAATTGGCTTTGCAGAAGAGTCACCTAAAACCTGCGCTCTAAGCCCATAACTTTTCTTACAGACATCCGATTTCAAAACTGCTTACTTCAAAATGATCGTGTTTTAATTCTCTAAAAATCTGTGTACTTAACTTGGTTTGTAGTTTGGGGTCGATTTTTCGTCATTTTAACGATGTTACCCCTTTCCAAATTTTCGAAAATTGGCTTTGCAGAAAAGTCACCTAAAACCTGCGCTCTAAGCCCATAACTTTTCTTACAGACATCCGATTTCAAAACTGCTTACTTCAAAATGATCGTGTTTTAATTTAAAATCTGTGTACTTAACTTGGTTTGTATTCTGGGGTCGATTTTTCGTCATTTTAACGATGTTACCCCTTTCCAAATTTTCGAAAATTGGCTTTGCAGAAAAGTCACCTAAAACCTGCGCTCTAAGCCCATAACTTTTCTTACAGACATCCGATTTCAAAATGGATTACTTCTAAATGATCGTGTTTTAATTCTCTAAAAATTTGTGTACTTAACTTGGTTTGTATTCTGGGGTCGATTTTTCGTCATTTTAACGATGTTACCCCTTTCCAAATTTTCGAAAATTGGCTTTGCAGAAAAGTCACCTAGGACCTCCACTTCTAAGCCCATAACTTTTCTTACAGACATCCGGTGTTAAAATGGATTACTTCTAAATGATCGTGTTTTAATTCTCTAAAAATCTGTGTACCTAACTTGGTTTGTATTCTGGGGTAGATTTTTCGTCATTTTAACGATGTTACCCCTTTCCAAATTTTCGAAAATTGGCTTTGCAGAAAAGTCACCTAGGACCTCCACTTCTAAGCCCATAACTTTTCTTACACACATCCGATTTCAAAATGGATTACTTCTAAATGATCGTGTTTTAATTCTCTAAAAATCTGTGTACTTAACTTGGTTTTTATTTTGGGGTCGATTTTTCGTCATTTTAACGAGGGGTAACCCCTTTCCAAATTTTCGAAAATTGGCTTTGCAGAAAAGTCACCTAAAACCTCAGTTTTCCGTGGAAAGTGATCGAATACACCTGTTTTCCCGTCGCGCATGTTACCCACGTGCTAAATACAGTGCTGCCAGACCGTCAAACTGAACTTTCCCGGTTTTTCCCCTATTTCTCAGTTTTCCGAACCCGGCCACCAGCGAGAGGCCCCCCAAAAGTTGCGTCCCGCTCCACCACATCCGCCACGACCCTGGGACCCCCTCAGAAAAGCGTAGGAAACGCTCCCAAGCCTCCCGACCGAAATCGTACCCTCAAGACTGCCAGCGTGCCCCCTCAAGACCCACCCCATCCCGGCGCTGCCATTTTACTCGTGTCCAACAAGTTTGTCTGCAAGCAGTTCACTGCTTTATCATGTCACTGGACTGCTTTCATTACAAGTTGTTCAGTTTGCACTAAATGTAAAAGCGCCATCTATGCGCGCACACAAAGTATTCAAATTTGAATAAACCCATCCAAAAGAGAAATTCAACAATTACACGTATTTTTTGCTTTATTTAAATATTCAATTGAGTGGTTGTTCTATAGAGGGGCGTGGTCGCAAACTGTATTTTGTTGAATATATCTATATTTGCATGTAATTGTATTTGAATTGGTGTAGACTATTTAGACGTCGGTTCCTATATATTGAAAAAGTTATCCCATAGTTTACATTCATAAAGGTTCAATTACATCAATTAAGTACTACAAAACTATTTTCGCTGTGAGTTGATCTTGAGTTAATGTTACTCTACCATAGTTTTCAGTGTGTGTGTTTGTGTGTGTGGGTTACAATAATTTAAGCCAGCTACTTTTCCTGGCCGATTCGATTCGAATGGAACAACTCAAGGTCATCAGCAGTAGGTGGTACACTTAGAGAAAACAATATTCGACTTAAACGCAAGGCTAATAAACAAAATCAGTGCTGGGCTCTTGGCTCTCTAAATGCTTAATAATACGCACGAGTGTGTTTGTGTCCAGTGTCTGTGCCAGCAAACTTAATTGATAAACATTAAATAACATTTGGATTCAGATTCAGAGCTAACTGAGCAGCGAATGTTGTCTAAATAATTCTAAAAGACAAGCTGCTCAGAGCAGCAATGCGCAGCCCCCCAATGAGGGTGGATCGAGTTATATGGATTTAAATCTATGAACAGTTCAGAAAATGATATCTGTGTGGTACTATTATTTCAAAGTCACGTTTAAGCTACGTCAAATTTTGGTAATCACTTTGGAATGGTTGGAAAAATATTAATTTTCATACGTTCCGCCGAAACCAAATAGCACACTGCAATTTTATATTAACGTAGTTAACAAAGAACTTTTGAATTGGCTTAAAAATGCCAGGAAAAGGAAAAATATCATGTTGTTCTTCGACTAATGTTGCATCGACTTACACCATAGAAACCATACATATTTTGGAAGAAACTGAATGGTATTATTTTTGATTCCGTAAATATGATACGGCATTTGTCGTGGCTTAATCGTGATTTTCTACACATACTTTGTTCAAAGATTATATTCTCCTTCGGTGATTTTTGGTCACCTAACCCCGACCCACCCGTAGGCCCCCGCGAGCTGGAATTAGCGCCTGCAACGCACATGGATCAGGCGACCGCGTCGCGGGGAGCCCGAACCCAAACCCGAACCCGAACCCGAAACGGAACCGGAACCGGAAACAGAAGCCACTGCTGCCGCTTCCTGGGGAGATGGGGCAGCCAGAGCCAGGGCCTATCACATTGGGACGCGTCGTGCCAGCAGATACTCGGAGAACTGCTGGCCCCCAACGCTGGCCTCGATGGTGAAGCCGGCGTTGAGCAGCCGCGTGAGCACCTGCACCGAGTTCAGCTTGCAGTAGCCGTTGAGGGGGAAGCGGATGATTTGCCCCCAGTCGCCCTGGTTCCAGGACACTCCGCTGCGACTCGACTGTGTCGCCTGGCTGGCCTCCGGGAAGAGCTCGTCGAGCAGAGCCCGTTCCGCCGACAGCATAATGCGCTCGCCAAGGTCCGGCGAGATGTGCAGCGCCACTACCTCGTAATTGCACTCCGGCGATGCGCTGGTCCTCGGGCTCGTCTTGATGTGGCGAGTCGGTGGAGTGGGTGGCGCCACCAAATAGTTGCCGTTGCGTACGCGATCCTTGCGCATGCTCTCCAGCTGCTTAATCATCGCTGCGGGCGGACGCGGACCGGTCATGTGGAGCGGTTGGGGAGATGGACAGATGCAGAGGAGGGGAGAAAGGCAAATTAGCTATAATCGCTGGTGGCCATAACGAGGGCCTATGCACAGAGACTTTCGTTCAGCATATGATTCAAAAGTGGTGAAATAACATTTTTATCTGATCAAAGTAAGAAATTATTTGGCAAAGTCATCTAAGTACACACAAACATAACATTTACAATGATAAAATATTTTATAAAAACATTTTCAAATAGACTTATTATATCAATCATCTTTAAAGCTTGCAAAAAATCGTTTTGTATTTTCATTTTGCTTGGTTTTCGTTGTTTTTAACTTTAAAATGGTAATGAATTTAAGAACAAACCATTTGCTGTCTAAATATTATTTAAGTTGCAAAAGATCTAAGCATATAATTTATTACGTCAATCTTAAAATGAATCTTTGAGTGGACCTCTATAGCGCCAAGGTATATACGATGAGTGAAATTATTTCATAAGCTTTAAAGTTATTATGAAACTTTATTTTCAATCTTTTTCATCTCTTATGCCTTGTATGTACTTAGTGATCTTAAAATTTGGTAAACAATTTATATGACTTCAAACTAACTTTTTCATTCTTATGACTTTTAATAATAACTTCTGGGTAACTGATATAATTAAAATTCTGTTATCAGAAAAATGGATTTAATTTGAATCAGATGCTTTAATGGCGTTTTTCTCCGTGTGGCTCTCAAGCAGAATACTTACGCTCCACCTCGTAGTAGCGGGCCTCCTCCAGCAGCAGCTCCAGGTCCGGAAAGTCCTCGGCAATCAGAAGTCTTGAGTTTCTCATAAAGTTCAGAATGTGGCGGAACATGCCCCCGTCGCGATCGATGAAATAGTGCTGCTTCAGCGAGTCCAGTACGATGGGTATCTGGCCGTTGAAGAGCTTGGCCAGCTTCGACTCCGGATACTTGGTGAGTGTCTCCAGCGAGCTGGTGTAGATGGTCCCGCCCACGTCGATGTGAACGGGGGCCGTGTAGCGGGAGGCGGCAGCCACACACGGTATCCCGGTGATGGGCTTGTGGTTGCCGTGCAAATAGGAACTGGCCCCCGCCGAGGAGGCGCCTCCGACGGCAGCGGCGGCAGCAGCAGCTGCCACCGCTCCGGGCAATCCCAGCGGCGTCACTGAGGAACTGGCGGGTGGCGTCGGTGTGGGCGAAGAGGAGTTTGAGATCGTTGGCGAGACGGTGGGCGAGGAGCTGCGGGCGAAAACCGTTCACGAATTCACAATGAGATTGTTCGCGACAAAGGGGTGGGGGGGTATATGAGGATGTGGAGTGGAAGCCTGCTTCCATCATACTGCCAATTGAGTACCCTGCACTTCACTATTCTAGGTGTCACGTCACTCAATTTTGAAAAGATTTTAAAATATTTATAAACTTTCAGGCTTAGCGAGAGTAATTCATAGCGTATTAATTGGAAACTTGATCTACATAGGCACAATTAAATAATTTAATTACTATCGGCTAATCATTAAAGGTATTAACTTTTAATCTACAATTCTATAAAGTTATTACATTAGCAAGGCTTTTTTGAACGATCTGATTTCTTAATTGAGATTTTGTCTGATTTTTGTGCAAATTGAGTAAACCTCTTTCATATTTATAATGTAATATTGATTAATGACGTAATCAGAAGATTTGAAATCTGCATGATTTTGGTGGTTTTTGTTTATTTGACCTACAGTCAACTAAATGAATGATATTTTTGAATAATTTTGTAGTATATTGGACCACGAAATCAATTAAATTATCATTTTTAAAAGAAACAACAGATTTAAAAATAAAACGTATTGATGTGAAATATAGAAATGTGAGTGATTTTTGTTGCCTATCTCAGGACGCAATGTTTTGATTTGGAGTCTCTTATTTCCCCTTAATTAATAGCACCAAAACGAACCTGATTTTAATGTCGCTTCTGGCGTAAATTCGGCCCGTGGAGGACAAGTCGCGTGGCTCCAGGGCCTTGACATCTCTTTCTCGCTCTCGATCCATATCGCATTTTTTCCTGTAACCAAGTGATGAATAAAATCTTATGTAATTACAATGCAATATAAATATAATTATTATAGATTAGCTTATGTAATTTAGAGAGGCCACGAAAACGCTAATCATGAGAACCAATTTGACCCGGCGCGCAAAAACCCAAATTGACTTGACTCTGATTACGGACGGCAACCAAATCGACAAAGGACAGCAAACGTGACAACGAAAATGCCGCTTGAAGCTCTCCACAGGGCCCCATAAAAGTTCACACACACACACAGCGATTTGGGAAAGGGGGTAAAGGAGTCAAGTCGCATATATATATATACATATATATTTCATATGGCCATAGTCTTGGGCTGATTGTGTGGGAATATTTGGTTTTACACTGCGTTTCCATCTCGGTTACGGGGCTTCGAGCCCCAAGCGATCGTCTCTCCGCAGCTTTAGTCGTGGACAAGACCAAATCGCCATGCCACCATATACCAAGTCGTCCCAAACCAAACCAAACCGAAGCCGAACAAAACCAAACCAAACCCAACTGAAACAGGCGGGCCGTGGATGCAGTTAATGTTAACGGCCATCGAGTGCATCGTTTTAGCACTCGTTGTTGTAGTTGTTTGGCCGCAAGGGTTGCCAGTCGAATTTCACACGAAAATCACATTGTTTCGCAGAGGAAAGCGGCAATGTGCGATGTGGGCTCGCCAATTATGATGTGTCAGTCGTATGCGTATGCGTGCCACATGGCGTATGCGCAACGCGGCCACTGAGCCGACTTAGCAAAGTCAACACCAATTACCAGGCAACATCTAAATCTCGAAAGCCAAAATCCCCATCACCATCATCATCATCATCATCATTAGTATCAGTTTCCCGACCCCAGGACCGTAAATTAATAAAACTCAATCAGCGAGTGAGCAACTCAAACGAGTTGGCCCCATATGACAAATGTTCACATGCTTTCTGCGCATTAACCTGGCTCCCAGTCAGTTCTTTTCAGTTATGAATGCACGTTGCTTACGAACTAACCTTGCAAAGGTAGTTAAGCTAGCCCATAAAGAATGGAATACTTTTAAGTAACGTTTATGTGGTTCATTGTTTAAGTAGCATTCATTTGCTGAATAGCTGTCAGCTTATCGCGAAAATGTATTTATTTTTGGTGAATAATTGTAAATTATCTAATTAACAGCAACAATTTTTGTTTTTTTTCTAAAATGGTTTTATAGTTCTTATCACAATTTGACTAAATTAAATTAATAAAAAAATCATAAATGTTTAACAGTTCAATCCTTTAGGAACTTTTTTGGGCTTACAAAATATGCATTTTTCATGTTAATCACATTGATTTCTATTTTCGAACTATAGTTGTGTGATAGCAAGCGTTCCTTTCTTTCAAAAGTGTATAGTGATTAGTCTGACATTTTTTCTCAATTAAAAAATATAAAATTTGTAATATTTTTGGTGGCATAGAGCATCAATTCCTGGCCTTTGCCAACAAATCAACGCTGCCCATGTAGCTAAACAAGTTTGCTTTTTTTTAAATGTTTGAGACCCGGCGGGCAAACGACTGGGGCTGGGTAATTACGATTTGATTAACTTTAACTACATGAACATTCAAATGCGAATGAGCACGGAGGAGGTGGGATGTGCTGGATGTGGGACTGTGTACGACTGTACGACTGTACGAGGGCTAAAAGCGAATAGAGTCCCAAGGAGCGGACGTCGAACAGGGTTACGGCAAATAAAAAGCAAAAGCAGTGCCACAAAAAATTGCACAAAATAAATGTCTGCAAGGCATTCTCATGGCAGCCACATGGAATGGCAGTGAGTTGAGCTGGGTGAAACGCTGGCTGGGTTTTATTAATTTACGGCAATTATAAAGCGTGAGTAATACGTTCAATCAAACATTGGATATTCGTTTATGAGATCTGGCTTAATGGTTTCCTAGCCAATATCCTTTTTCCCCATTACCCTTCCCCTTCCCCTTCATCGACTTCTTCTTTGGCCCAGCTGCTGCAGTTGCAGCCACAAAATATGCAATGCCTGAGCTCTGGCTTGCCACACAAACAATTCAATTTCAATTGCTTTGCGGCCCACTTGAGCAGGTGCAACAACAACAACAAGACACACACACACACGAGTATATATATGTGTGTGTGTGTGTGTGTGTGGACACCCTGAGCTAACGGTATTGTATATAAGACAAGCACTGCAGTTTGCATCCTATTCTAGTCCATTATCACCGCAGGCGGTATCTTTTCTATGCCGTCTAGTAGCAGGATGAGCTGGAAACTGGGCGAGGGGCAGGGAGGAGGAGAGGGGGGCAAAAGGGGTTAGGGGTGGAGGGACGAAGGGGCAAGGCTGCCGGCTGGGCGGAGGGGGCGGAGTTAGCTGGAGTTGTTCGCAGCGCCTTTGGTTACACTTGAGATGAGAATCAGAGGAGAACCCGTGATACAGCCAAAATATGAGGTTCAATTTAGTTTATTATCTTACTATTAAAAATGTTATATGTAAAGCAAATACTATTAAAATAATATAATTCAAAATAATAAATTTATAGTCTAACTCAAAATTAAATCAAAGTTTATCACGCTTTTTTGAAGGATCTTTAGAAATAAAAGATCTCAATGTTTTAAGTAAATATTATTAGCAATAAAATAATAGAAAGGCGGTTGTAAACTAAAATTAATCCCAGTTTATATTTAAATGATTTTAGTAAAAGAAATTAAAAACGTGTTGTTTTAACATGTATTTAATTGTGGGAATTGAAAATATTAAAAATTGTTCTGAGCTAAGACTATAAAACTTTAAAATATTTTAGAGAGCGTAGTCTCAAAGAGTTGTCTTTAAAGATTAAACTAAATTCTTAAAAAAATGCATATTTAATTTTCTTTTTAAAGCATTATAATTAATTTCATAAGATATAAAGCACAGATATAAAACAATATTTGTTCATACCTACAAGGTAATTAAATTTTAACAGCTATTTCTCCTATATAAAAACCAAACTATTTGTATTTATATACATAGGTAAAGAAGTAAGTGTCAAGTTGAAACTGATCTTTGGTCACAAAGTTCGTGACACGTACTCAGCTCTGGCCAATATGAATTTTGAAGAGTTGCCTTTGCCGTAGTCATATTTGTCAACCGACTTCCCCATCATTTTGGCATACTGGCATCTGCATTCGGCCTTTCTGTGGCCATCATTTGACATCTTTGCCAGGCGCTGTTCTGGTTTTAATGGCAATGCCATTAACTCTTAACTCCTGGCACTGCACAATTGCTGGAGACAGGGACTTCCCCTTATACTTCTGCCGGAGTTTCATGTTTCATTCGGCACATGCTTACTGGCGGCAGAAAGAGATGGTTGCTGTGAGCTTATTAGTTTGCCATTGTTGAGATTGTGAGTGCGGAGCTGGATATCAGGTTGCTGGCCAGTCCGGGATGATGCAGAGTGGCCCGGGGCGAAACCATTTTCCAAAAAGGAATTATGGACAAAACTGGCCGTTGGCACATGCTCAATGTTCGAATGCTGGGAGGATAACTCAAACTGAGAACTGCCCGCTTCAGTGCCACCCAGCCAATTCTATTCCTCGATTCCCCACGACTTGGAGTGCTCGGTTTTCGGATCGGGTAGTTGAGTGGGCTAGTGGTGGTGGTGGCATGGCCATCTCCCCCCAAAAAACAGGACAAAAGCGAAAACAAAAGCCAAGAAATGAGCTAAAGTGCACACCACACACCCACTCACACACACACACACACACACTCACTGGGATGGCGACACACACCTAGGCAGAGCATCAGACGTTGACGACTGCGACGCTGACTATGTAACCCTAGAAAATGTCCTGCGGCCAGCCAACCTTCCGCACACAAAGGCCAGACCAGACAGCCCGAGTGTCCTGGTTGCTAGCTGCACTGGCCAAAAAAACAGAAAACATTTAAATTATTGCTCAAATATTTTGGGATAACGAGAAGAAAATAATTAATATATATAATAAAATCTGTTAAGAGGTTAAGATAATTTGAAGACATTCATACTCTTTGGCTATTGCACTACCAAGTTTTATAACAGCAGTAAATCAAAAATATTTCAAAGACAATAGTCACATTTTTTAAAGAAGAAAGTATAATGAAAAATTTACAAAAACAATAATGTTATTATCAGAAAATATTTTCTCAAATCTTTACATATTAATTATTTATTACTAATAAAACTATTAGATCTAGCTGGTCTATTAATTGGTATTCCAAACTTTTATATGAAAGTTGTAGTAAATATGGAAGAGTTTGTGAAGACATATGGGATATATCTTATTTTTAACAGAACAATTAAAATTAAATGTAACAATTTTAAAAATTATGATAAGTAATAACAAACGAAAAAAACATAATACAAATTTTAAATTTACTATTTTCTTAGCATTTAAATTTGTTTCAAAACTTAATCAATCAATTAGAGTACCTCTTAATTTTGATATATTTTCCAAAGTGAAGGCCATTTTTTTTCCTGTGTCGACAGAGAACGCTAGCTATGCGAGAGCGAGAGAGCTAGCGAAAAAGGGCAAAAGCTGACTAGGCCCGCGGCGATCGTTTGGAATTAGTGCGGAAATCATGGATGGATACGAAACGAAACCAAGCAAGGAAAGCGAGCCAAGCCAAGCCAAGGAGTATGGAATACGGAATACGGACGACGGACTACGAACACGGGCGGAACTGGGCTCCAAAGGACCCTCGGAAGGTGGGGAGCTCATTCATCAGCACGGCTCTTTGGCGAACGGGGGAGTGGGGGTGGATTGCCCCGAATGTAATCCACTGGGGCTCCGCACGAGCGAGTGCCCACTGTAGTCGGGCAAGGTGCCCGGTGCTTGGGATTGAAACTTGGGGTTTTCCTGTCCTCTTCCTTTCCCCCTCTCCCCCTCTTTCTCTCCAGTGGGTTTGCTGATTCCTTCAGGGCTTCTCCGGCTCATGCATGTGGCTCCCCCCGTGTGTGTGTGTGTGTGTGCCGGGTGCCTCCTCATT